AGTATAATTTACTTTTTATAACTTATAAATAATAATATTAGTCATGTTTGGTTTGGTTTTCTGAAATAATTTTTTGATTTAAAAAAAGAAAAAGAAATTAGTTTGACAAAAATAAACATAAAAAATATTTTTAAATTTTTAAAAATTATTTATGCTCTTAAAAAAGATAAAACTATTTATAAATGACAAATACTTTTAATTTTTTCATTTGTTTTCATGAAATTAATTATTATTTAACAAGAAATTGAAATAAGTTTTTAAAAACCAAATCCAACATTAACATCATGTGTGTGTGTATATATATATATATATATATATGTACATTTATGTATTTACATTATTTAATGGACACTCTCACAATCAGTTAGTTGACGAAATTAAACAACCACATGACACAGTAAACCCAATATTTATATCTAACTGTGAAATTGAACACAATTTGATGGCCACCACATCTCTGGAATGAGATTTATTACACCCCATTTATTATTGAATTGTGATAGTTTATTTTTTTGGTTGTCATGTAAGTCTCTTACATATCCACACCCTTGTCCTCCTCTTCCGAATAAAAATTCAAATATAATATAGTAATATCATATCATTATTAATATCACCAAATTATGCCTCCGTTTGGGAAGTGGGTTGGCTTTTTGGCTTTTTGGTTTTTTTGGCTATTTTAGCCTGGGCTAAAAAGTTTGGTTTGGGAAGGGCTTTTTGGCTTTTTGGCTTTTTTGGCTTTTTTTGTGAGAGAAGAATGTAATGATTATGGGTTGGATGTGATATTTTGTTTTTTGTGGCTAAAATAGCCTATTTTGTTTTTTGTGGCTAAAATAGCCAAAAAAGCCCCGTTTAGCTCTTGCCAAACGGAGGCATATATATATGGAATGGCGAATTCCGCTTTTCGGATGTAACTATTTGTTTTAAAATAATTCTATAACCACCACATTCATGTAATGAGATTAATTATGTCTAGGTAGTACTTTGTATGTGGCAGGGCTGGCTCAACCTTCGCCCAAATAAATAAAATATTCTTATGATAAGCCTTGTTCTTGGTCAGAAAATAGTGAAATCGTCTTTCCTATTCTTTCCCCGGACCCTGCTACTAAGAAAGATGTTCACTTATTAAAATATCCTAGAAACAGGGGAAGTGGTCAGATTTATCTAAGGCCTAAAAGGAAATCTCAATTAGAGGGTTTTTTATATTTAAATATTTTACAATACAAATTTTGGGAGTTATTAGGGTTATGAAATGAAAAGAATTGAAAAGTGCAAACTATCAAATAAATATAATTTATAAATTCAAAGTGAAGATCATGTCAAGAAAAAAAAAATGTGAAAATTGAAAATAAATTTGTAAAACATATTCTAAATTGATGGATACCTTTTTCAAAGTAACTCTTTTTAAATTAGCAGATTGGATAATTTCAAAATTTGTGCAACTTCTTTTCAATGTCAACCTTCCAAAAAAATAGAGTGGGTGCTTTATACAAAAATATAACAGATGGGTAGAGGCCTTTTTTATCACAACATGTATAACATTGCATTATATTCATGGGTTGAGGTCTTTTTATTATAATGTTTCAAAATACATCTTTTAAAAAATATACATATATAATTGTAATTTCTTAAAATTTAGGAGCTTTCTTCACAAATTGGGCCTAAAGCTCTTGCTTTAGTGGCTTAGCTATTAAGCCGGCCTGGTAATTGGATGGACAGTAATACCACACATTAGTGATGCCGTAATATCATTGGTGTATTAAACATGTTATCTACGTGTGATTTAATTTTGAAAACACAACTTCAATGAAATGTTTTGAAAAGATCATTTCAATTAGTGTAATGAAGTGTTTAAAAATCTGACTTGAGAAAAAAAACAAAAAAAAAAAACATAAGTATCAGAAAATAAGTTCAAAATAACTTTAAGAATAATGCTTGGGACCCCCTTTTAGGGGTCACCCCCTCACCCCCCTTTGTCATGTGGCGGTTGGTGATTGGAGGAGTAGGAAAAAAAAGAAAATGTAACCAATGAGAGAGAGAGGGGGTCAAAGGGGGTGAGGGGAAAAGGGGAAATGAATCATTGTTGTAACTTTAATTATAAAAAAAGAAGCTAAATTTGTAAAAACTCTTGTTCATTATAACAAAATTCACTACAAATTGTGGTACCACATCATCCACACGTGATATTATTATCTAATTATAAATTACCATGTGAATATAATATTCTCCACTATGTAAAACGTGTGAGTTAATGAATTGTGTTGGTCATTTAATTAATGAGTTTACTATTTATAGTATTTTATAATTGAATAATAATCTAAGGTGTCATTAATAATGTGGTTTTACTCATTGGTGATGCTATATGCACCAATTAGTATACTAACTAATGTACCAACACTAGTTATGGCATTATTATTGACTTCACTCATTAATCACATTATAAATATCAAAAACCTCTTAAATTATGTCACATCATCAATTGGTATACTATTTAGTACACTAATTAATGCATATAACATTATTCTTTACTCATTCTTCAAGGGTGTTTGAGAATTAATTATTTTTGGTAATTTTTTAAATTTTTATAAAAAGGCATGTAAAAAAAATAAAAAGAATAATTATTCATTTTTTGGAGTGGTTAAAAATGAATTTTTATAAATATATATATATATATATAAATAATATAATATAATAATTTATGATGATTTTTTAACTTTTTTTTTTGTTAGCATGAATCAGTGTGTTTGGTTTCAGTCTTCTGAAAATTGAGTTTGTTATTTTTCGTATTTTTTTTTTTTAGTGAATATTTTTAAGATTTTAAGATTTTTTTTTTTTTGAATTTTTTAGGTGAGAATTAATTATTTTTGGTAATTTTTTAAATTTTTATAAAAAGGCATGTAAAAAAAATAAAAAGAATAATTATTCATTTTTTGGAGTGGTTAAAAATGAATTTTTATAAATATATATATATAATATAATATAATAATTTATGATGATTTTTTAACTTTTTTTTTTATTAGCATGAATCAGTGTGTTTGGTTTCAGTCTTCTGAAAATTGAGTTTTTTATTTTTCGTATTTTTTGTTTTTAGTGAATATTTTTAAAATTTTAAGATTTTTTTTGGACTTTTTTAGGTACACCTTACTTAATGTATCTAAAAATTAAAATATTTGTGAAAAAATATTTTAAAAGATTAATAAATACATAAAAATACAAAAAATCTATTGAATTTTGGTATTTTTTGTATTTTTGGTATTTAGTGAATTTTTTGAAATTCTTTTTAGGAAAATTATATTTTTTAAGTGTATTTATGTTATGTGTGTCTAAAAATTAAAAAAAAATGCTTAAAATATTTAAAAAATTCAGTAAAAACAAAAAAAAAGGAAAAATAAGAAAATAAAATTTTTTAAAAAGTATTTTCAAAAAATTAAAAAGAAACCTAGTGAATAATTTTCAAACACGACCTCAGTTAAAAGAGAGAGAGGGCATTTTAGTCAGGTTGGAGGAGAAAAGAAGTTGCAAAAATTGGTGCGTAATTGCACAGAAAAGCAGTCGAAATGAGGTAAAACTACCGCGTCACGTAATGCACATTTGGAAAAGTGGCCATTTGCTTACCCACCAATCACTTTCTTTCTTTCTTTTCCTCTCTCTCTCTCTCTCTCTCTCTCTATCGGTAATGCTAATATAGACGTTGACGTGGTGGTTAAATTAAGAAACCTAGACCCTAGGATGTCAGAGAAACTTTGTTAATCATTCAGTCATTTCGAAATTATTTGCTTAACATTCTTAACCACACTAATTACGTAACGAAATGTTTTTACTGTCAAGACATTTTAGTCGTTTTTGTTAGGTAACTAGGCAACGTGATTGTTTAGTGTAGTTTATAATTTTTTTTTTTTAATTTAAAAAATTTTATTAGATTGTTCAGTGTAATTTTTATTTATAATTTATTAAAAAAATAATTTAAATAAATTAAAAAAAAAAATCGATTTTCAAAAGCTGACTAAAAGGCTCTTTATCAATTTTTAATCTTTGTATAAATTACACCAAATAGAGCTAAAGAATGACTTATTTAAATTGTATTTATATTATACATTTGAGTAAAGATTTGAAAAGAGAAAGAAAAAAATATAAATAAAATATAGTTATATTTCACACTCATTTTCTTTTTCTCTTTTCAAATTTTACCCAATTTCATGCTTCAAAAGTATGTGATAATCAGGGGTGAGTGACCGATATTATGATCCGACCAAATTGACTGAACCGAACAGAGCCGTAGTATTTTGAATGGCTGCATGATGACGAGCAGACGGTTGCAGATTGATTTTTTTCAATTCGCCTAATTTTGGACGAATAGCAGATTTGAAGTTCTTTTGGTTGCAACCGAACAGCCAAACTGTGACCACCCCTATAAATTTGTAAGATTTTGTGTTTTCAATTTGGTTAGATATTCTGTTTGTGTTTTCAATTGAAAAGAAATTTAATATATTTTGTTGTGTTTTTAATTTGTTTTCAGTTTGAAAATCCTTTTATCAAATGACAAATGTTAATATTTTGTATTTTTTTGTGAAAAATATAATGCTTAATTTTGTCATTTCAAAAAAATCAAATTAAATACTTTTTGAAGAAAAAAAGTAATAAAATAGTTTTGATAACGTATGGTTTTCCTATATGTATTTATTGTTGGTATTTGATAATTTATTTGATAATCTTTTAGTTATATTGAGTTGAATTGTTATAAAAAAAAAATTGATAAGTTGGTGTATTATGTTCAAAATTTGTGAAATTTTAAACCGCTAAATTAATTTGCATCCATCTGCCAATCCGTTAATCTGTCCATCAATCTGACGGATAAATACAAATTAATTTTTTTCAACTTAACAGACGGATGACGAATTAGAAGTTGTCTACCCGTAACCGAACTCCGAATACCCTAGTGATTATAATTTTCCGAGAAAATGACAGAAAGTGAGAGAGGGTGCCCTATACACATATATAGATACAGTGCAGAATTTATAATTGGAATTCGTGTTTGCTTTCGGAAAGCCAGGTTGAAGTCACCGGAGGAGGAATATAGCAATATTTTCCCAACTCAGTCTCTCAGGGTCAGCTCAGGTAGGTATGGAAAATGTAAAATGTGATTGATCTCTTCAACCTCATCAAAAACGCGAAACGTTTCAAGAATCATTTGTTGTCCTTTTTCTTCGTCTTCTTCAGATCACTTCCTTTCTTTCTTTCTTCCTATCTCTGAAACGTTTATCTTTTTTGTAGTTTCCTAGTTAAGCTCAGCTTTTAGATCTTAGCTTAGTTGGTTTTCTTCATCCCAGAAGGTTAAGGATTTTCTTTTTCTCACCAAAAAATCTCTTCTTTTTTCCCATTTTACACACCCTTTTTTTGTCTTATATCAAAACCCAATCCTCAAATACATTTGAAAATCAATATTTTTTTGATAAAACCTCTTTGATCTGTAGTTTTCAGTTCACACACAATTTTCTCATTTTAAAAAAAAAAATTAATCTTAATTTTAATTTTTTTAAAATCTCACTGACAGGCCAGACACTGTTTTGGTTGATAATATATCATATCAATCTTACTTTCCCTAGATCATTTGGTGGATCTATTCTTGCTTTCATTTCCTTGAGCTGATTAGTGTTCATTACTAGTGGTCTAGTGACTCCGGTCAATGACTAATCTAAAACACAATCACATAAGAGAGGAGAATAGGTTTTTATTTTTTGACCTATAGAGAGGAGAACCAACCCTAACCCTATTTCTCAAGTTGAAAGTAGATCCTTTTTCTGGTGGTTACTGTGAATTTTTATATGATGATGATGATGATGATAGTGTTATATGTATCATGTATATGTTTCTCATATGTATTTTCCATAATTTTTCAGTCCATTGGATTTTTATTTCTTCCTCCAATTTTAGCCCTTTCTCTTTTGATTTCTCAAACTCCTTGCTCTTCAAGTTGTCTCTCTCTCTTTCTCTAGATCTACTTACCCATGTTTTTTAAAGATAATTGGTGATGTTTTCTAATACACTACACAACTTCTAGTTCTTTTCCTATACTCTCATTTAAAAAAAAAAAGAAAGAAAAGAAAAGAAAGCAAAACTACTAAATAAAAAATAAATAACTAATGCAAGATCTTGCAAATGTAAACCCCCAAAAAATCCGGGACACCAATCCATATTTTTGTCAATTCATTTCTTTAATTTTATGTCTCTTTCTTACAAGATTTTTTTAAAAAAAGGAAGAAGATTTGCATGCACATATAGCACAATAATTACAGAAAATTAGGAGATCGCCGAGCCCTTTATTTTCTTATTATTTTTTTCCTCAATGTAATAATAATTTGGGATGAGAAAAAAAAATGTTTATGTGGAGACAATACTTTTGGTGAGTAGGCTAGGGCTTGCAAGATGGGGCGAGGAAAAATTGAGATAAAGAGGATTGAGAACAACACCAACCGGCAAGTCACATTCTGCAAGCGGAGAAATGGGCTGCTGAAGAAAGCTTACGAATTGTCGGTCCTTTGCGAGGCAGAAGTTGCCCTCATCGTCTTCTCTAGTCGAGGACGCGTCTATGAGTATGCTAACAACAAGTAATTTTTGCTACCCCATTCCTTCATTTAATGAATTTTTTCCCCTCATTATTTCTGTTGCAAAATGGATTATTTGACTAATCACACTGCTGCATTTTCATATAAATATCATTTTTATTCTTATAGACTTATTTTAAAAGTGTAATATGCTATTATTATTATTATTCTGTTTTATGCTTTTTTTTAGTTAAACCATCATTTCCTTGTTGTCATTTGTCAAGTTGTCATTTAAAAAATATTTTATAGTTGTCTTATTGCTGATTTTGTTGGGATTGATATGACTAGAAGATGCAGAAAATCTACTGTCATGTATTCTTTTAATCAGGCTACACGAATATTTCATAATGATCTCATTATTAAGCCAAAGCACCTTCATTATTATTCATTTACAGCAATGCTAGAGGGTCACAAAATAAGTGGCTCAAATAGTTTAAAATTGTCAAAACAATGTCGTTTTGCGCACAAAACGCAAAACGACGTCGTTTTGACAGTTTTGAACCATTTGAGCCACTTATTTTGTGGCCCTCAAACATTTTCCATTCATTTATTATTTAGAAGAAATTATTATTCAGGGTAATTTTTTAAAAAATATTGCTTATTAATGAAAAAATTTATGATATTGATTGTTAATATTTATAATATTTTTTACTTTTTTTATAAATATTTTTTACTGACATGGTGAAAGTGTAATTTCCCCTATTATTTATTTTTTGTACCCCTCAAAAATAAAAGTAAAAAAACAATTATTTTATTTATTTTAAGCATTTTAAATTACATACCTTGTTTATGGCCTGATATACTTTAGTGAGATTGCTAACATGAAACCAAATGTTGTTGATAATGTTTGGATTGTCATAAGAATTTTAGATATAAACTCTTCTAAATCATCAAACCGTGCTGAGGAGAAGGCTTGGTTTTCGGATTTAGATCCTCCTTATTTCATGAATATGATATGTTTGTCGAAATTTTATTTTCTGTTAACATATATTCACTATTTTCTTCAAAAATAATCTTAAAAGGAAGGTTAAAGCATCTCTAATGGTTTGCCATTGAAGCTACTAAAGCTATTTTATAGCGGGGGCAAAAGTGGTTCTCCAATGGTAAGTTTTGGTAGTTGCTATATTTGGCAAATGTCAAAACTTGTGCCAAGCTGCCAAATGTGCCAATTCACCAAAATCAACCGTTCCTCCCTCCCTTTCTTTTCCCTTTCCAGCAAAACATCCAAAATAGAAACAAAATTCACCAAAAATAAAGCAACAAAATAATAAATTATGAACTACATTTCAGAATTAGGTAGAATCAGGAAAAGAAAAATTCAACAAAAAAAATTATATTTATTTTAACAAATTTCAAGAATTTCAGTAATATCAATCAAAAAAATCTAAATGCCAAGCACAATTAACATCTCCAAATTTGAAGCAATATCAAGCAAAAAAAAAAATTAATATAAAGAAAATTTATACTGAAATAATCTACAATTTGAAGATGCTTCGGCTTCATCTTCGTGTTTGGATCGTCTTTGGGCTTCGGCTTCATCTTCTTCGTCTTCGTGTTTGGGTCATGTTCATTAGGGTTTTGGATTTGGATCACTTTCGTTAGGGTTTGGATCATTGGAGAAGAGGTTTAGAACGGAGGAAGAGAGAGATTGAAGAGAGAGAGAGAGAGAGATTGAAGAGGGCTAGAACAGATGGTTGGAGAAGAGGGTTAGAGAAAGAAATTTGGGGTTTAAGGATTGGAGATCGGCGGTGGCGGTGGTTCTAGAAATAGGGGGAGACAAGAGTGTTGGTAGTGATGAAGATGGTGTAAGAGAGTGACGAAGATGGTGTAAGTGAAAGAGTGATGAAGACGGTGAGAGAAAGAGAGGGAAAAGAGCAAGAAAGTGGTATGTGGTTCCTGAATGACGAGAGAGAAAGAGAGAGACGACTTGAGAAGATGAGAACTAGAGAAAGGGGATGGATCAATACAAAGGTAGATTGCACAAGGTGAATACAAACCATTGGATTATGGTGCTCTTTTTGAACGATCTAGTTTCATTAAAATAGAAATACATTAAATGACATTAAGTGTCATTAAAAAGATAAAATTAAAATTTAATTTTTAATTTTTTTAATTTTTTTATTTTTTTTTTATATTTATCTAGTTGGGTAGAATGTAAATATTTAATTTATTTTAGAAAAAGTTTGAAAAATGTCAACAATAAAAAAATTACTAAAAAATCTATATTCAAACAATACCTACAAAATTGGAAGGAAAGTTAGTTGAGATTTGTCAAAATGACATGTGACCATTGGAGCACAATTGCTATCATTTGACAATTTGATACTATTCATTGTCAAATTATAATAATAGCAATGGTATTATAGCATTGGCAATGCCATTATAGCATTTGCCAATTAGAGAAGCACTTAGAGCCCTAAAGGAACAAGGTAGAAGAACCATATATTCTATCCTACTATATTATTTCATGGAACTGTTTTACTTCACTAGTATCACTAAGGTGTTTGAAAAAAAAAAAAAAAGTGTTAAATGATAAAATTGAAAACTATGAAATTAAAAATTAAATATTAACAATTAAATGTTAAAATTTTAAATTGAAAAACTATTTGATATTTACTGAAAATTGAGTACTGAATTTAATCAAGTTGTTTAATATGTGATTAAAAAAAGTTAGAATTTAAAATTTATTAATTTTTAAAATTTTCTCTTACTCTCTTTATATTTTGGTGGTGGTTTGGTAGTCACAAGATGATGGTGGTGGTGTTGTGGTGACGGCAGTGACGATGATGGTTATGTGTGCTCATAGGATAGTGGTGACGACAAAGATGGAGGTAATGGCAATGCGGTTGTGGTGGTGGTTTGTGTGATTTGGTGAAGGGGTTGTCAATGCTATAGGGAATGAGGGAGAGGAAAAGGATGACAATGGTGGTAGGCGAGGCAGTTGTCACCAGCTATGTGAAAGAAAAGCAGAGGGAGGTGTTTGGGTGGTAGTGGGAAGCACGAAGGGAGGGAGGAGGGGGCTTTCATCGGCGGCATGGGAGGAAGAGAGGGAGGGAGAGGGATAGAGATGAGGGATTTAGTGTTTTTTTTTTTTTTTGATTAGCTAAAAAAGAACTTTATTAATAAGAAATTCATATATAACATATGTTAGTACGTCAATAAAGAGAGAAGAGAAGAGGTCTCTCTCGATGCATGTTTTCTTCCTGTACCTTTAATTTCATGCTGTTTAAATGAAATTTTTCTTTGCTGATCAAAAAAAAAAAAAATAAAGAGAGAAGAGGTGCAAAGAGTATCAAATTATAACGTCTGTGATAGGTATATTGAGATGAATAGGTACATCAAGACGAATAGTTCTAATTAATTGATATATAAACTTTGTGAATTTTCAATTTTGAGCTTAAGAAATGGCTACGTGAGATATGTACATGCCCATTTTCTCCAACATTATAATCTCTGTTACCGATAGTTCTTTTCTTCAAATGTGTTTCAATTGAAATCATATGGAGCAAATGGACACAATCATATTTTTTTTGGGCTTATTATATATATACATATATATGTATATGTATCTATTCTATTTATTTATTATATAACATGAGCATCCAAGTTTGTGTGAACTCTGTCATGTTATTTTTGCTACCAATTTTGCTCGACAAATAATATATTTAGTTTCACAAAAATTGTGGTCAAACATGGAAACTAAAATTTCTCAACACAATTAAAAAACTATTTCAATTTTTATAAATACGTGCATGAAATATGTTTTTTTTTTTTTTGAAACAACAAGAAAGGAGATCTTTATTGATGAACATCAAGCAAAATGCAATGACCTGCATCAATAAAAAAAGAGAGTGCAATGAATATCTTAGTACAACTACATGATCCTAATTAAATTGACAACGATAAGTTTACGCAATCATCTGCGGACACCATTCACAGTTGATGAGTAGTCAACCAACCAACCAAACAAAGAGAACAGACACAGCCACGCATAGAGCAAACATAAAAACTCCCAACTGTAAAGAAGAAAATTAAATGAATTTGTACATTGACTTGAGTTCTTCTTCTAGTACTAGTAGTAGTAGCCATCATCTTGCACCAATTAGCACCCACTGTAAAAATCTCAGAGAAGCAGTCTTTTTCTAGGCTGTCCTTCACACTTTCCTTTTTTGTGTCATATCTGATTAGAATGTGCATCCATATCTCTACCACAGTGATTTTATTTATATATTTTTTAATTATGTTAAGGATCTTAAATAATCTATTAAATTTTTTACTTAAACTTCTCACATAGATGTAGGACTTATATAAACTCACATGTGTGTGAGTCCCAAAATTTTGATAAAAAATTTGATAAATTATTTAGAATCCATCACATTTTCTTATTTTTTTCTTACTGCCTTCTCTTTTTGTCCCCCTCTCTTGGTGAAACACTCAAAAGTATGTCAATGGCATTTCAAACTCTCAATTGTCTCTCTTTTTTTTTTCTTTCTCTTTCCTGTTTCATGATACCAGCAAAGTGTATATTGTTTTTCTTCTAAGGTTTATTCCTTTATAGTGATTATCAGAGAGAGATGAGAGATGAGAGATGAGAGAGAGAAGACTTTTTTCAACCACTGCAGCTCTTTTTATGATTCTAAGAAGGCACCTGTACTGTCCTGTACTTGGTTCTAGCTCCTTTCACTTTTTGAGGTTTTGTTTCCATCTTGGACAGACTCGGACTTGGACTTAATCCTTCCATCTTTATTATATGTGTAACCTATCCTCTAATCCTGTTGTCTGCTTCTCAATAAAGTAAAAAACAAACAAAAAAAAGATGAAAACCATCACTCCATGGATTGTGTTTGACTTGAGTTGAGTGACCAAGTGAAAGTTGTATGCTTCTTGTTTGTTTTCTTGGTACATCAATAAATTGTTCCTTTTGCTGCTTAAAAAAACAAAAAAGTGAAGTTTTTACGTTGGACAGATTTTGACGTAATAAGTACAATTTTTAAATAAAAAAAATATTATTATCAAAATTTGATGGTGGAAATAATCTCAAATATTTGTTACTAAAGAGTATATCACTAATGGTGGGTTAAATTTTTCAATGGTGTGCCAAATCTTGAGCTAAAATGTGTAAGTTGGCAAAAAATATTATTTGCAACATTGGTAAGAGCAATTATGGTCACTAGATATTTTTAAATTTTTATTTAAAAAAAAAAAGATTTAATGGTCAAAAATTAATATGGAAACTAATTGTCAAAATTATATTGAAACTATTAGAATAGTATAACTTAAAAATAGTTATTTACTCTCTAGTAAGTCATTTTAATTTAGAGTTGCTATAATATAACTTAACAAATTATATGACTTTTTGATAACTCGTATATCTTGATTGGTTCTCACTCCCACTTTCTTACATACATGCACGAATGCTCATCAAATTTTGCATCGGAGCATGAATAATTACATTAGGCAAATTACAAATACTGGGTAGTGGGAAAAATAATTAGAATTTAAGGGACAGTTTTTGACATTGTAATGGAAGTGAGATGAAGGTGAAAAGTAAATTACGTATGGATCAAATCTTCATTGAATTGACCAAGGTGCCTCTCCCTCTTCCAATTCTCTCATCTTCTCTTTTTCTTTTCCCTTTGCAACTTCCAACTGCCAGCAACTACTACAAAACCCACCCTCGCTAGCAAGGATCCTTTATCCTCAAATATTCTTGTCCCCCTGTCCCAATTCACTCACAATCATTGAATCATATGAGAATTCTAAGATTTGAAAATCTCAAAAAATATTTAATGATTGTGAATGAATTAGAACAGGGGAACAGGAATATTTTGAGATAGAGGATCCTTCCACCTTCCTCACCCTCATCCGCCGCCTCCAGTCCCATTCCTACCCTTTTCCATCATTGATATCGTTACCATACTCCTTACAACACCACCTCCGTTTCTGCCTTGCTACTTCCAATCTCTTCACTTTCCACCCAACAACCCTCTTACCCCAAGTTCATCCAACACAGTTACCTCAAACTGTTAATCTCTCTCCCTCGCAACCCCACATAGTACCTGTGGGGACATAATTTTTTAATGACAACACGTGGCCGAGGTGTCACTGAAGTGCCAGCCGAGGTGCTACGTGTTCTGGTCATGATACCGAGATGATCTCGGCTAGGCCGAGGTTATCAGCAAAGAAATCAGAATCCGAGATAAGTAGATAAGGGACAAGAGTCCTAGAATGGAAGAGGATTTCAGTTTGGGTAAAGATAAGACTCTTAGAGAGTTTATCCCAATCCTACTAGGAGTCCAAGATTAGCAGTAATCTTAAGTCCATTGAAGCTAGGCTTCTATTGGGACTACGTTTGTGTTGGCTATAAAAGAGAGGCACCCTCGTGGGTCTAAGGTATGCTTTTTATGCTCTGAATAGTGAGTTAAGCTGTTTTGCTATCTTTGACAGATAACTGACTTAATTGTCAAAGTGCCCCCGGGTGGACGAACCAGCACCGGAGTCTCTTCTTTTATATGACAGGTCGTTTTGGGCAATCTATTCTGCTAATGTTCTCCAGCTGAGTACCAGTTTAGCAGTGTGGTGGGAAATTGACACACACAATTTGGCGCCGTCTGTGGAAACGAAAGGAGAATAGATGACCAACTACAGACAGAAAAAGAAGGTTAAGGACGACACCCCTACTGAGAGTAGGAAACATATTGACCTTAACGTCGAAGAAGACAAATTGCAACGAAGAGACTCGTGATAAGAATCACGGAGAAAAGAACGTCGGCTAGAAGGGCGGCGTACAGAAGAAATTGGACCGGAGCGGGTATTATAATGAGGAAGACCTCGAGGTATGGAAAGATAGATGCCTGCGGAGGGACGACGAGATGAAGGAAATGGCGAATAAATTGGCGGACCTACAAACGGTCGTCAATTTCTTGATGCAGAACAAATGTCATGCAGCCACCGTTCCCGCTACAAGATACGTCGATTCCAGCGGCCAATAAAAGTGTCCAAAAAGGGAGGCAGAAAACAGTTCCTGCAGTCTCTCAGCGTGGCGGGACCAAGGGACATTCTCACCGGCCTTCGCGGGAGGTCGAGCATGGAGAATCCCAAAAGACACGATCTCGGCCTAGATGATTAGGTCCGAGAAGAGAAGAGCTCAGCCTAAAGTGAGCAGATCCCAGATTTCAGAAGATAAAATCTCGGCCAAGATGATTAAGTCTAAGAAGAGAAAAGCTCAGCCTAAGTTAAAGACTTTTTATATAAGGTCCACAAAAGAGTAGGTAGAAGCCATGCAGAGGCCTGGAAAATGATGCTTGAGAGTTGGAATTTTCAAGCCAAGATCGGTTTAACTCTTGTTGAAATTTAAGAAAAATTTACAAGTTAAAGTTAAACTGAGGTCATGTTTAACACTTGTTGAAATTTAAGAAAAATTTACAAATTGAAGTTAAATCGAGAACGTATTTAACACTTGTTGAAATTTTAAATTTACAAGTTGAAGTTAAATCGAGGACGTATTTAACACTTGTTGAAATTTTAAATTTATAAGTTAAAGTTAAATCGAGGATGTGTTTAACACTTGTTGAAATTTTAAATTTACAAGTTGAAGTTAAACCGATGATATGTTTAACACTTGTTGAAATTTTAAAAAATTTACAAGTTGAAATTAAACCGGGGTCATGATTAAAGGAAGGAATGATATAGGTTCCATCACCTCAAGATGCTGAGGTAATAGAACCCAGGGGGCAGTTGTGGAGACATATTTTTTTAATGACAGCATGTGGCCGATGTGTCACTGAAGTGACAATCGAGGTGCCACGTGTCCTGGTCATGATACCGAGATGATCTCGGCTTGGCTGAGGTTATCTGCGAAGAAACCAGAATCCGGGATAAGTGGATAAGGGACAAGAGTCCTAGAATGGTAGATAATTTCAGTTTGGGTAAAGATAAAACTCTTAGAGAGTTTATCCCAATCATACTGGGAGTCCAAGATTAGCAGTAATCCTAAGTCCATTGAAGCTAAGCTTCTATTGGGATTAGGTTTGTGTTGGCTATAAAAGAGAGGCACCCTCATGGGTCTAAGGTATACTTTTTATGCTCTAAATAGTGAATTAAGCTCTTTTGCTATCTTTGGGAGATAACTGACTTGATCGTTGGAGTGTCCCCGGGTGGACGAACCACCGCCGGAATCTCTTCTTTTCTGTGACAGGTCGTTCGGACAATCTATTCTGCCAGTATTCTTCAGCTGAGTACCAGTTTGGTAGTATAATCGGAAATTGACACACACAATACCCATGTTGGTATAAAACATGGTGTAAATACAAATTTTGTTTGGTATAATTGCAAAACATGCACGATGCAAATGTTAAATTAAAATTTTGTTTGGTATAATTGCAAAACATGCACGATGCAAATGTTAAATTATGTCATGCACAACATCTATGCATATATGTATATATTGGGAAATTACAACCTAAAATTATAAGAAACACCAGTATGCCTTGACAACTAAATTAACTTCACTATTTGGGGTTTTCTTTGTTTTTTTTTTTTTTTTTTTGATCGGCAAAATAAATCTTTATTGATGGAAACATAAAAAATATGATAGAATACATCAATATAGAGGAGCTTGGAGCTACCCCAAGTTCGAAGCTCCAGTTGGTGAGAAACCAACAAAAAGAGAAAAACAAAAAACCAGAAGCATTAACAACCAAATTACAGCCATAACAGAGCAAACTAGCAGCATAGTAGATCACCAAGACTAATAGATCAGTAGGCTTAGCAGCTAATTCCCAACAGATCAACAGATCATCACCAAATCACCAAGACAAAACAGCTTATTCCAAGGCTAAGCAGCAGACTTTTAGCTCCGCAAGGTTCTCATTTCCAAAATCACCTTTAAACAACACCAAATCTGACTGGTCTGGTTTAAATTGACCACAGAATCAGCAGCAGTTTTTGCAAACAAAAAATCACATAGTAAAAGTTTGGAAATTCTGAAGGCCATTGTCACATCCTGAAATTTAAACTATATCTTAGTAAGTCTTTTAATTTATTGAAAACCATTGGGAAGTCTTTACATATGATCCTATTGTCCATTCACAAGTGTTTCGATATGTCAATATAGTAATATATTAGACAAGAACATTGGCAAGATACTAAGTGAACGGCTTCAATCAATTTTTTTTTGGAGTCTAAGACTTACCAATTAATGTTGAGATTACATTATTTGTGAGAGTTATGTGAAAATCCATTGTTCAATTATCTACATTATTATTTATTACTTTATTATATTGAAAAATCTGGATATTTTCGATTTTCTTGGCATACATACAGCATAAAATCAACAATAGAGAGATACAAGAAGGCAGTTGCAGACAATTCCAATCCATGCCCCACTCCAGAGATTAATGCTCAAGTAAGTACTTCATTAATTTATTGACTATTGTTTACCATTTAACTGTCAAAAAATTACTCAAAAGGAAATTTTTTATTTTGTGCTGTGATCAAAAAATTAATGCATCCACTAGCTAACATGTTGCATATACTCATCTAGCAACCTACAAACAAATGGTTTCTATAGTTGGAGGGTTCGATATGTATTATTGAGCCTCTGTTTTAGGTGCATAAGCTTTTGAGACTAGTTTAGTTATAACATAGTATCAACGGTCATGTTAGGAAACGTCTTAAGTTCAAGTCTTTTCATTTTCAGGAATATAGACATCTTTGACATTCTTGAAAATGAAGACTTGAACCTAAAACATTTCCTAACATGTTGTTGGTGTATGTTGCTCTATTGTTTGTCCTGCTGTTGTATGCATGATGGTGTTGTAGGCTGCTCTATTTGGTGTTGTTGTTCTGTTTTTTTGGTTGTTGTTGCCCTTGATTGGCTTTTCACCAATCGTGGGTTAAGTGCTTGCAGATGATTGTACTTCATTTGCGGTGCTAACCTAGTTGAGATTGTGGGGGTGGCTATGATGCTTGGTGCACTTTCCTAATTTGTTGATGTATTTTGCTTTTATCATCAGTAAATCTTTCCTTTTGCAGATAAAAAAAAAAAGAAAGTCTTTTCATTTGTATTTATTTTCTGTTTGCATTATGTTTTCTTTATATCTTGATTGCATCTCTAGATAAAAGATGAGATTGAATATGAGGAAGGGTAATGGGTAGCATGATATACATTTTTTGGCCAATTACCCTACAATTTAAGATTTTGGAACTAGTTGATAATATGTCCCCTAAAATCTCAATGATCATATTGCACCTTGTAGGCCATTTGAAATACAGTTTCATCATCTAGACTTTAAATTAAATAGGAGGGACTTAAATCATATTTCTTTTAGTAGAATAAAACACAAAATAGAGTTTTTTCCCCCCTCTAATGCAAAGCTCCATTCTAGATGATAGATTTACTTTAAATATTATGTAAAATGCCAATATTGGGTCCAGTCATTTCACAAGGTATCCAAACACTAAATTCTCTTTTTATCAATCAAAAATATGATGAGTATAAACTTGTAAGACTCCTTCTCTTCCTGGTAATTGTGCGATATCCTTTAATACAAAAATTGTTGGGTTCTCTTTCTTCAAGAATTTTATTATTATTATAAATGCATTATTACCTAGGAATGATGCTATACAAGTTAAATTTTACTAATTTCTCTTATTCACTTATGTGAAACTTATCTTAATATTCAAGTGAGTAATTTTGTTTTGTTGGTTTTGCTTGAGTTGTATCTTTGAACTTAATCAAATCAATTTCTTATCTTTGCTGAAAAAAAAAATTAATGCTATATAAACTAAAAAAAACTTATGAAGTTTTTTAGCTCATGGCTGTGACACTTGGGTATTATTGGAGTGAGTATCAAATTTCAACGTTTCATAGCAAGAAAATTATAGTAAAATTTGTTATTAAAGTGGACGATGTTTTCGAATTCCAAAATTTCATTATTATTTTATAAGATTTATTAGTTTGTACAATATTTTTCAATATTTGGTACTTATTTATACTTTTGTGGCAGCCATGATATGCATCACATTTTGTGATATTTCACATGACAAGCTTGGCATTCTTTGTTGGTTTGTTTGTTTGTTTTTTTTTAAATGAAATGTTTTGAAACAACAGATCTAACCACTTCTTCATATATTTGATTTTGTGTTTTTGGATCAAGTGTAGTTTTATCAACAAGAATCAAAGAAGCTGCGCCAACAAATTCAAATGATACAAAATACTAACAGGTGCTTCTGATATTCCACCATTGCAAGAGAAATTATCTACATTCTTTATTTAAAAATATCACAAATGTTATTATTGAACCTATGAAACCTTTTTATTTTTAAAAAGAAGGCCTAACACATAGGGGTAACCCTTGGAGCTAGGCCCTCCGAGGGTTAGTTACCCTTTGGTGGTACTGCATAGCTGGCCACTAAACCAATGCAGTGTTGTCATGAACTTGCACAGTGGTAGTGATTTATACTCACACTCTAAATAGTGGGTACATTTCACTCAAGTCTGAAAGGAAAGTCTTACTAACCAATTGTGTTAAGACTCAGGAAGCTAGTCCCATAACTAGGATGGGGAACTTCTGGATCTATACCAAGGTCCTTATTGCTGAGCTAAACACAAGGGTTGTGAAATAATTTATGTTATCAAGGGTAGTACTTCAAAGATTCCTTAACATCTTCCATATTTGAGAACTAACGAAATCTGTTAAAGGTTAAAATAGATACTGCCATATCATTTTGTTTGTATTTTCTAATTACATATATCATTACACTTTTTCTATTTCTCGTATTTGCTCACAGGAGTTTAATGGGCGAAGGCCTGGACTGTTTAAACATGAAGGAATTGAAGCAGTTGGAGAATAGACTTGAACGAGGAATCACAAGAATTAGGTCAAAAAAGGTAAAGGTTTAAAAATTTAAAGCAATACAAAAATTGTTAAAACTTTAACGTATGACTCTTTTAGTTCTCTTAATTTGAGAGGGCTGATGTTTTTCTATCATTAGATTTTATGTACATAGAAGAACTGAATTTAAATGCCAACATGATGCATACATTTTTTTCCTCCATTAATACATAGAATGCACCTTTTGATGTTAAAAAAAGATGGACAATATTCATACATGTATACATACATAGCAACATATATTACACATAAACAAGTAGTATTATAGTATTATTGATGTTTGTCATTTGTCTTGTATTTTGATTTCATTAATACAATTCTTTTTTGTCAATCAAAAAAAATAAACAAGTAGTATTCTTAAAAAACAATCAACATTGACTTTCTCTATTGAAGTACTTATATGGTGCCACATTTTCTCATTTTTTTCTACTTGAACAGCATGAAATGATACTTGCAGAAACTGAAAATTTGCAGAAAAGGGTAAACATTTCGGATTCATATTGATGATCATTCCATTTTCTTGCAATCATAATTGTCTACTTTTACTAATCAATAGTTCTTTCCAAAAAATTGTCATAGGAAATGGAACTAGAAAATGAAAATGCATTCCTTCGAGCCAAGGTACGTACTTCAGGCAAATATTTTCTTGGTGTTTCTGTCTATTCATCAATGAATTGAAAATAGTGCTTTGCAAGAGCACAATTGTCTGTTCCACAAGTTTGTACAAGTTACTTTTCCCAAATTGTTTGCGTCAATTCCCCTTTTCATGATTTTTTTCCATTGAAAGCCTATTTTCAGGTAAAAAGTGTTAAAAAATACATGTTTGTGCCTACTTTTTCAAACTAGGAGTCCCATGTGTTCTGTTAAGTGTGAATATATATTACTTGAATCATTCCTATGATATTCATGTCAGTTCCTAAGTATTTCCGTGCCATTTCCATGATATAATTTTTGGGGGTAATTTACAATCCATTGACATTTTTATAAAATAATTACATACACATTGAAAAATTTATAATTTTAATTATTAATGTTTATAATATTTATTATTGATCTATAATTATTTTTAAAAATTACATTGAATTATAATATTCTCCTTTTTTCTTTTTTCTTTTTTTCCTCTCGAAAATCTATTTTCAAGCTTGAAATGTTCATGAAAAAGACAAGTTTGTGCCTATTTTTTTTCCTTCAACTATTAGCAGATATTACATTATTCCTTCATCTTGTTTTTGCTGGTCTATTCTGTATTGTTTTGCCTGGTGCCAGCCTGTTTTGTACTAGTTTGCTGTCTCGTTTGCTTGTTCTCTCTTTGGTTGGTTTCTCATCAACCTGTTAGCATGAGCCAGTAGATAATTGTGTATTTTCTTTGGTGCCAGCCTAATTGGGATTAGGGAGGTTTGCTATGATACTTTTTGCTCTTGCCTCCTCTCCTTGTTGATGTATATTTTTGCTATGATATATTTTTGTTATGTTATCATCAATAAAGAGTTTTCTTTGCTGATCAAAAAAATTTTAAAACTGCACAAATACACTTTTTTGGAGGTGATCCGGAGGGGGTAAAAATGATACAATTTTATAATTCAAGGGGTCAAAATGTACGAGTTCATAGATAATGGGATAAAATAATATTCGCTAATAATTGAGAGGTGTTAGTGTAATTAACTCTTATTTTTATTGGGGGCTCCAAATGTACAAGGAACACTACATTAAAATATTATTCAGAAATGCAGTGAAGCACACATAATTATAAACTGTTATTAATTATAAACTATTAGGCCTGATAATAAATCTCATTTAGCTTGAAAGCTGAACCTTTTTTTTTTTTTTTGGAGGTTCAAAATGTGAAATTTGACGGTCCAAATTAACTTTGATTATAGATAGCAGAAACTGAGAGGATTCAGGAACAAAACATGGTGCCAGGAGAAGAATACAATGCCATTCAAGCCTACTTTGCTCGCAATGATCTTGTGCTTCAACTTAACATCATGGATGCTGAACATCCACCACCACCACCAGCAGCAGCCTACCAACGATTCGACAAGAAGTCTCTCCATCTTGGGTAAATTTTTTTATGTATTTTCGCCTCTCTTCTCCTGTGTTGTTTTGCACTTAAATCACTCTGTCTGAAATTGTATGGTGAGAAGGACAAATTGTTATTTATTTATTTTTTTTCATTTTTACCCCATTGCCGCTAGATTGCCGCCAAAAAAATTGTCAAAAAAAAAAAGACCGAAAGGTCACTGGAGGTGTTTGGCAGCAACGAAGACTGGTGGTGGTGGTGATATTGATAGATAGACAAATTATGTAGACAGATAAGTAACACGTGAACAAATAAGAAAACATATAGATAACACGTGGACATATGAGTGGACATATAGGTAGACAGTAGACAAATAAGTAAAAGTAATACGGTATTCCAAATTGTTATTATACTTTTGGTCGTAAAAAAATAGAGTTTTGGACTGTCTCACTAATTTTGAAAATTAGATTTATGCTCGATTACCAATCAAATTTCTCATTTACATAATGATATAAAAAATTTAAATATATATTAAATAAAAATGAGGAATTTGTAACCCTAACTTCTCCCTTAAATTGACTTGGGTTGTTTTTTGTGTTTTATACAGGTAAATCTTGTGATGGCTTGTGATGGTATCAGTATCTCTCTATAATACTTAAATAAAAGACTGTACTTACCCTAGTAATATGTTGCAACCCTACTGATATGTTGCAAACTATAGAACTTTCTTAAGGGAGTGAGATATTTAAACTGTGTAAGTTGTGCTTGTTACATTAGTTGTTTTTATTTAAATAAGAATAATTTTTTAATTTATTTTTTTCAAACATATATAATGATGTACGTTTTTGTGATTCTTTCTTTTTAAACAACCCATTATTATGACTTGATTTCGAAAAGTACCACTGTTAATATATTTGTAATTATCCACTAATATGTTTATTGGTATATAGTTACAAAAATGCTTTGGAACCCCAGTTTTGAAGGACCCCCAGTGATGTGGCAGCATGTGATTGGTTGAAATATTTTTTTTTTTCTTTGACTTTCTCTTGGTCCACAGCCCCCCACGTGGAGGTGGGGGTGCTGGGGTGCCTCCGTACTAGGGGTGCCAATCACTGCTCATATAGTTAGTATGTTTATTGATATATTTGTTAGGAAACCACATATATTTGTTCCAAAATCACTAAATATTTTTTCTTTAATTAATATATTATTGATATATTAGTTAATATTTTTAGTATTCCTCAATAGAGAGTATATACAAAATTTAAAATCAAAATAAGAGAGATTGAGAGGAACATAGGTGCGAAAGAGAAATTTGGATTATTTTGGACCGTTGGATATAAATTGGGAACGATCTCAACCATTGATAGGAAATGTATATCTCCAAGACACATCCCCATCAATTTTCAAATATATATATATATATATATATATTACACTTTATATTTTAAAAAATTGCATTCTCCACTAAAACCTCTCAGATTTCTCATATTTATTTCACATAATAAAAAAAATATTAATAAGATTTATTGAAGCTCAAAAACTCACCACCCTTCTATAGTATAAAGAGAAACGAACACTTGATCTGATGCTATTGTCCCATCCACATCCCATTTCGAAATTGATTTTACTAACATTCCCTCCATCAATCATCAAACTACAGATACATTCTATATCTCATTTTCATAACTGTTTATACTAACTCCATCAATATAAATAACAACAAATAAACACGGAGTTTACAATTTTCAGTTAGAATAAGTTAGGAAGAAAAATGGATTTACATCGTATGCAAATGTATGTGCAATGATTAGGAATAAAGCAACCCTTTAGCTATACAACGCGGATTTGCAACCCCTAAAAACAAAAGTCCGGCAGCTCAGAACCACAGAAGATAACTCTGGCATGATTGTAACTTAAGAGCAAACTGAAGGACGACGTGGCTGTTGGGGGGGGTGGGGTGAATGAACCGTACATCAAAAAAATGCGAGTTGCTTTTTGCTAGTGAGAACTGGCCAAATTCAATGTGATTCCCGTCCTAAAAGGGCCTGAGCGTGACTTCAGGCTCAGCAGCTTGAGGGATAATGTGTTGGATTGTCACAGATCATACCAATTTTTATTGGTCCTTGCCCTGTCAAGACGTGCTTTGCGGACTGCCTCTTGAATTTGTCTCTCGTGCTCCTTAAGCATGTCTTCCATGTTCCCACCAGCAGGCATCAATGGTCCGGAGTAATGGATTCTGCTTTTTCTTGGTACATAACCCTGAATCGTAAGAGAAGGCAAGTCAACTATTGTGGGGAAAAAAAAACAACACAAAAAAAAAAGAAAAAAAGAAAGTTATACAAATGTAATTTGACATTCGAAGCACCCTTAAAGATTGAGCAAGCAACGACTTCAGCTTCTTTCTTAATGCCGTGTTTGGATCTTGGAATTGTCAAGGGAAATCAAATTACATATACATACACTTTCTTTTTTTGACAAATAACTATTTGTTTTCTTCTCTTTTTTCTTACACAGCAAAAAAGAGAAGAATTTAGGTTCTACTTAATTTTCTTTTACCATATTTTCCACTTGTCTTTTTCCTCCACAATCCAAGATCAAGAAAATGTATATATAACTAAAGAAAAAACAAATAGAGATTTGGGGAAAATTTTCGAAAAACCATGCCACTAACTGGGGTTAGTCCCACTAATGGAAAGTATTAAGAATGCTTAGATGGAGAGTTCAATACCAGAATATGGATTATCCAGGTCAACATATGAAAATGCAAAGGAAAAGGCAAATTTTTAAACATTATCTTGATTTCCCACAAAAAAAAAAAAAAAAAAAAAAAAAAAAAAAAAAAAAAAAAAAAGAAAAGAAAAGAAAAGAAAAAAAGGGTTCCAAAATAGAGAATGAAATGTGTTCCAAAAAGGGAAGAAAAATAATGCAAGAAACATTTCAAGTTCAAGCCTTTTAATTGTAGGATTCGGGTTTGTGATTCAATTAATAAAGTATTTTGTTAACGTGAGCATATGTTAAGAAGCTTAACAAAAAGTGAAAATTCTGTATAAACACACGTGCAATAATTAATGTACAACATAGGGCATATATTACAAGGCCCGTTATGGTTTTAAATAACGGAATCATGATATGTATTAGTATTGGTGATACAGTCATATATTGACCATTATATCAATGAATAACGGTATCAGAAGTCCAAAATTCCATTACTTAACAGCTAACACAATACGTAACAGCCCATATTTAAAATCATGTCCATTAATAAAAGGACACTTAAAGAAAATAGTCAATTCTTTGAGATAGAAACATACCATAGATTCTTTTCTAGACATTTCCTCCTTCTTGGAATATGTGCCAGACAAGCCCACTCCAACCTGAGGTTTGTGAGAATTCTGTCTCCTCAGATCGGACACACTTACTGATGAGCTAATTGACCTCCCCGGACCAATATGACCTTCGCCTTCCTTTGCCTTTCTTGACCGTGCATGTTCGACTGTACTCGGGTGAACCGTTGAGTTCGAAAGGGAAAGTCCATTTTTTTCAAATGCACTTGGGAAACCCAACCCAACATCCTCACGGGAATTGTGCTTTGCACTGATACTTTTCGGACTTGATTGTCCCTGTAGTCTCTAAGTTAGCCATAAAGTTGCTGAAGAAAATATGAAATGTGACAAGATACAAATAAATAGTTCAAACAAAATACTTGTAAAATAACCTGTCCATCTGGTGTACGCACTTCCTTGCATTCTCTTGGACCCCTTCTTACAGATTGAAGTCCACGCCCTTTCCCAGCCTCAGCTTTTTTCCTGGGGAAAAATAAATTGAATAACAAAAACACCTGAAAAACAAAACAAAAAAACAAACATACAAACAAGCAAACAAAGGTATGATTTAACCAAAAATATGGCTGTAATGTCCTAGACAGAGCAGGACGACAAAATATCTTCATGCAGAATTCAAACAAGAAGAAAAGTCCAGGCATGTCTTCATTATGTATCCATTTATATATAGAATCAGTATTATATATTGTATAATTTACAAACACCCCATGAGATTTTCAGAAAATACAGATTTCCTCTTAGAGTTTCAAATGGCATTACAATTTGTCCCCTTTGTTAATCAACAGTTAGGTCAACTAACACATTAACAACCCTAATGGTACCAAACCCTTTCCCTCAATCTGTCTCTTTTCCCTCTCTCACAGTCTCTGCAATGTGATAAACCCAACAAAACTAACACCAATTCCAACCCACTAAACTCTTCCACTTCACCTCCTAACAAAAATATTATCTCCTTCTATGTTCTCTTATGTGAAATAGAGGGGTGTTTTTTTGTTCCATGATTCTGGTTCCAATATTGTTCTGGACATGAATTCCATCTTTGCCCCATGTGCACACACACATATTCAATTTAAGAGATTGGCAAACAAGAACAATAATAATAAACAAATAAAGATTTAAAGGATTACATATGATGCTCAAACAGAAACATCATTAGAACACAAATGCTAGCTGGACTCGTCTTGATAATTGCTTCCTGTCACAGATAAAACACTTGCAAGTTGAGTGGTAGGGAGGAATGGAATGAGGGAAGTAGGGTGACTTTTTTGGTATGAGAGGGTAATTAGGTCGTTTTCTTTTTTCAGTCAATCATGTTAAACGACAACTTTGACAAGGGGGTATATGTAATTTTTCAAACTAAAGGACGTAATCTGTATTTTTAATAAGATTGTGATTTCCTTATAACTTTGTCAACACATGGATATGAATATTAGATCCACCATTCACTTTATTTTTTTTTTTTTGCATCTTATTAGGCAATATCAACTGGGTAAACAGAATTTCTGATTTGAGTTTCTAGTGTCCTAAACCAAGAAATGTCACACTAAATGTCCAATTTTTAGCCTGTATTAATGTCAGGCTGTCAGCTCTGCTAGAACTTTCTGCTGATTTACAAGTGATACTATTCGACAAAAATCATGGAGAACTCATCAAGGCATTTCATAACGGGAAAAGAATATTAAAAAAAAAAAGTTATTCTATGATACCGAGACTTTGAATAATACAACTGATCCTTTTTATTGAGACATATACTGTTAAATGAAATTTTAATAAATTCCTTAGTAGCGTACCTTCTTGCTTCCTCGTCTTGCTGCTTTACATCAAACTCCTTGCTCGGAGGATATTTTGGTAAACTAGATGGATCGCAAGGTAACGGATTTGTCATAAAGAACTGAAATAGAGAATCCAAAACTATCTAATTAACAAATTTGCAATAAATTAATAAATGGATGCAAGTATACAGTATCCTAAGTGGGATATGTAATCAAAAGTGCATCACAATACTTTGAAACTTTAACCCAAGCAGCAAGTTAGCAGCCACAGGATTCAAGAACTATATAATGCTTGGAATACACAGAAAAGGGCTAGACACAACAACTAGTAACAAAAACATGTGAAAATTCAAAAAAAACAAAACAAAATAAAAGAAATCCAATCAATTAATAGTGATGCATAATGAAGAGAGGAGTGAAAAATAAATAATTAAAAAACATATAGGTTTCGGTTTCAAATTGGTGCAAATAGTTAAGGAATTAATAGTCACAACATATCATTGGCATGTGAGCAGCCTATAGCAATATATGTTTAATTGCAAGCTGAGAGAAGATAAATGTTAGTTGTCTAAGGAACTGTAGAGTAAAAAATGAACCATACCAACTCCCTCTCTCTCTCTCTCTTCCTTTTTAAGAGAAAAAAAATTGGAAACAAGGATGCCATGTAAGTTAAATTTTTTACCTCATTATTAAGTGCCGAAGCAGCAGTACCCCGTTGCTTTGGTTCAATTGCGAGGAGGACATCAATAAGTGACAAAGCTGAAGAAGGAAAGTCCTTGAATGTCTCGGCAACACAACGCCTATAAGGATGCTGAGGTTTAAAACTAGTAGCGTGCGGCAATTTTGATTTCCTCCAGTACTCCTCAGAAGGTGAACCACAAAGCTTGAAAATTTTATGCATTTGCTCAACCTGGGAATGGTTTTGGTGTTGAAGAAAGATTTATAAATATTTACAAAACAATCAAACTAGTAAATGTCGAACAATTATGAATTAACTAATGTATTGCTTCAGTAACATTCATACACAACCAAAAGAGCTTAGATAAGAAAAAATAATCTGTGAGGATCGAATTCCAAACCTCATAGCATTAGTCCATAATACAGATAATAAACCATAGTTTGTCAAATCTATTGAGACAACCAATAAAAAACCATTTGAATGGACATTGTAAAAATGAGGTAGATGTGGTTTAGAATTTGAGAGTGATCCCAATAAATAAACATGAAAAAGTATGGAGGTTGGTAAGAAGAGGCAAAATTGGACAAGCACTTCAGAAACATTTTTACTGGAAAAAGTTCGATATCCACCAGCAGGCGCTGAATGAATGAGGTTATAAACATTTGCAAATACAACATGACATGGTTATCAATACATGCCCCTAAGACTTTAAAATATTGGATGATTGTTGAAATCTAAACAAGTCCAAAACTATAAAATGCACCAACACTCGATACCCATATACCCGAAGCCATTTAATATGGGATATAAGCCACAGAAAGTGTAAAATTTTGGAAAAAATATACATAGTTAAGCATTACTATTCCATTTTTTAGCATATTAAATGAGACACATTGTATCTCATATCATTTGGCAAACATTTAACCATTTCTAGTTGTAACAAACAAAATTTGGTTAATATTAGAGTATTGTATTGCAGAGAATGAACATTTTCCTTCAAAAACCATATGAAACAAAATCTAATCACTTGATTTACAAGACTCCAATCTGTTCATTTCATTGTACAAGAAGCTCCCAAGAAGAAGATGATGGATGATAAGAAAGTCCTCAATGTCAAAAAACCACAAGAAGAAGAACCAAGTACCCAAATCAAACAATTCAAGGAAAATACCTCTGTTCTACCAGGCATGATTGGCTTCCCAGCAAACAATTCTGCGAGGATGCAACCAGTGCTCCAGAGATCAATGGCAACCCCATACTCTGTTGCACCAAGCAAAAGCTCAGGAGGCCTGTACCATAGAGTTACGACACGACTAGTTAATGGCTGCTTTTGATCAGGCTGGAAAAAGGTTGCCAGGCCAAAATCTCCGATCTTGAGAACTCCATTATTGTCAATAAGCAGATTTGAACCTTTAATGTCTCGATGCAAAATGCCACGGCTGTGGCAGTGTTCAAGTCCAGACAGTAATTGTTGCATGTAGCATTTAATCTTCAAGCCCAGCACAAAAGTTCCCACATATGAAGAAGTACACAAGAATTGCAAGATAGGTAAGTACTTCTATTCAAACACTACATAAAATAAAAGGATCAAGCATCAGATCTATCTTTCACCAGCTACGACACAAGCTGTCCAGGTGAAACTAAGGTAGTGTTTGGTTCATTGGAATGGAGTGGAATGGAATGACCATTCCATCAAAATGCCCATTCCCATTTTGGTTGACTTAAAATATTATGATAAATACATTGCATATGGAATCATTATTCACTATTGTAAGAGAATGATCACTCCAAATGGGAGACTAAGGAATGACTATTCCATTTCATTCCAGTGATCCAAATTCACATTATTTTTTTATGAGTGGGTTCATATTCTAATCACCAAACAATATCCTTCTCCAACAGAAGCATTCTCCCAAACAAATAAAATACAATCTGATTCATCAGATACATCTTTTTATTCTTCTCCATTTTCTATTTCAATTATTTAGATTACCTTCTCTCTTTTTTTTTTTCTTTTTTTTTTGGAAAGTAGATTATATTCTTGTTTTCCTAAGTCTTATGCGATTCCCATTTAGGATCACCTTATGCCTCATTGTCTTTGTGACAAAGACCTCATAATCAAAAAACATGAGAGGAAGTACCTGTGATTCAGTGAACTTAATCTTAGGGAATGCAGAAAGCCCGGCAAGGTCATGCTCCATGTATTCAAAGACAAGGTACAAGCTGCCTGACATCCTCGAAGTGACTATACACTCCAGCTTCATTACATTTGGGTGGTCCAGTTTACGCAAAATATGGATTTCCCTAGCCATAAAACGGACACTTTCTGGATCCATATTTACAAACCGCACTTTCTTCATCGCGACAATTTTGCCTGATTTTAGGTCACGGGCCTTGTATACACTGCTATAAGTTCCTTGTCCGATCTGCATAAATATCATTTGAAAATCAATGATCAAACATTAGGAAATTTAGCCAATCCAAACTTCCACAAGTACATATTTTGACTTCAAAAGTTACTAGAACCAAAGTCATTGCACATAACCCGTATCTTAGTTAAAATTCACGAATCATTATGGTAAATGGTAATTCCCTTTCTCATAAATCCTTACTAAAGTTCTAACACTTGCAAAGTTCCACTACAAATTGCCTCCCTTTCCTTTATTCATACCCCACCAGAAATTTACTTCAAGAATTGATCGTTTCCTATCCAAATTAGCCAGTTTTCATTCCATTGAAATCTTATATTTTATGTATCGCTTCATGCTGATATTGCCACAACTAAGGAATCAGTTCCAAACTTCAACAGAAAAAATGCATATATAATCAACTGATGCAGGTTAACCACTTAAGAAGAACCTCCCAAATCTAACCTTAAGTGGTAAACAACAAAATAATAATTTATACATATATGCAAACCAAAAAAAAAGTTGGTAAGTCATAAATTGCATAATAAGAAATAGAACTGACTTTGTTTAACTTCTCAAATGAATCTGCACTTCGAGGAAGCCAACCATGGATAGCCTCTCCAGCAACTGAAGTTAGCCAGGATGGCCATCCTGCAACAATCTGTTCTCCTTCGGCCCCATGTGGCGTGCTAATTATCCGAGTCATTGTTGCTTTTCCTCCTCCATTGACTACCTCATCCATGGTAGCTCGTCTCTGATGGTCACTTGTGGGCCTTTCAACAACTTTCGTTTTCTTCTCTTCTTCATCTTTTGTGCTCGGTACAGAGCTGATACTGGCTTGTAACACCGGTTTTGATATTGTTTGAACAGACTCATCACAACCACCTTTAACTACCCCCACTACAATCTCCTCTTGCTTTGATGGAGGAGTCACTTGTACCGAAGGTTGGTTTAACTTTTTTTTGCCTTCTTCTTTTTCTTTCTCATTCTCATTCTCATTCTCATTGGCGACAACATAATCGTTTACAGTAGATCCTTTTGAGCAAAGGCCACCCATCCTTAGCAATCAACTGTTTTGTCAAACAGACAAGTCCTCCAAATTTACAATACTTGAAATGCCCATTGTATTTATTTAAAATTTTGAAGAAATCCTCTATAAATTCAATGGCATTAGCTTTTGAAGAAAACGCCAACCATAATCTTCACCAAACATTGATCACCTCTTTCTGACAATACAAACCCAAAATTCAATCTAATGTCTCAAACTCCAATTCCTCTCAAAAACCCAAAACTTCATAAACACCCAATTCTTCAAATAATGAAACAGAAGGACTTTTGAGGAGGAAGAGAAAGAGAACCCAAAATGCAAGAAATTCAAGAAAGAGCAAAATAGCACAATTGATTACAAGACAAAACCAGACAAAGGCCTCTTAGAAAGATTGAAGAATCAAAACCCAGACCAGAAATCCAGCATTGAAATATATATATATATATATATATATAATACTATGTATATATCCCTGTGAATTGATGCAGGAATTCTGGTCGAGGTGGGGACCTAAGCAGCGGTGATTCTGAGTTCCCACAATTTATTATTATTTTTTTTTGGTTGGGATTCAATCGATATTATTCACAGAAATTTTATTAATTTTATTTATTTTGAACATTTTAAAAATTAAAACTAAAAAAATGGGTATGAGAAATAAAACCAGAAATTGAACGAAAGAGAAGAAAATAGGGAAGGGGGGAAAAAAATAATAAGAAGAAGAAAAAGAGAAAATTTGGGAATTTGGGAGGGTTTTGAAGGTAGGTTGTTGTTCATCCATTTGGGGGTGACTTGGGCAGCCCTGTAAACGCGCATGGCCGAGAGTTTTTCGGTAATCTGTACATTTTGCATAGTTGCAAATTGCGTCTGTGTTATAAAACTTTATATATGAAAATCTTATTATATACACTTGAATATCATATACACTTGAATACCATATACATCATGTTATTTTTTTTAATTATTGATAATGCTGCTCGCCACAGATGGAGCGGGTCAGACTGGTCAACGCTTCTCAAGCCGTTATCCGATTGTTAGGCCCACCGAGAAACTTGCAAAGGAGTTCAACGAGGAATTGGGAGTCTTCCGGCGAACTCTCCGACGAGCAAGTTAGAAAGGCGAGAGATGGAGATATAGAGAGAGGATGGATATATGAAAACTTAACCTTCTCCCTGTCGTCAAAGCTTACTTAGATCCTTTGTTCATCATTTCCTTGTCTACTCCGAACTGTCATATTGGCCGAAAGTCTATGTTCTACATTGCCTTGTTCATGGTGACGCTATTCTGTTTCGACGTGAAGGGTTATCGTAATAAATGCTGCAGGAAAACTTATTAATGGCTGATGTGTGGTGTAATAACTCTACAAGATCTTTGTCTGCTGATTGTAGACGTCCCCGAACGACCCGGGAGGAAATCACGTTTTGTTCATTTGGGCTTACTACAGTTAAGGACTCAATGTCACAGTCCTGTATCTAATCTCGCAGAGTGCAATGCCAGACCAATGAATCATCAAAGAGTCCAAATCCGGCAAATCGTTTTGAAAAACTGATTTTTAGAAAGAAATGCCAAATATGAACTGTTTTGTCAAATACAGAGTCGCCACCTAAATATTTTATTTTGGGAGAATTTAGGAAACCCTGACTCGTGCCTAAGGCCACGTGTCCGTCATCACCAAAGTTGCCTCGGCTCGGGAACTTGGGTACGATTGGGAAAGGTCATGCAATGAGCACCCCCGCTCGCCCGATCAAAGATCGGCCACTACTAAACATGATATCTTGTTTTTGAAAACATATGTGCTCTTATTCCGGTTTATTAGCCTAGAATTACTACGTGATGCACACAGCATACAAGTATAGACTGGATCGTCTAAGTTGGAACAAAACATCTCACGTTTGTTTTTTAAAGCGGTTTGTTACTCACAAGTAGGCTAAAATGCGGATTTTGCCACCCTCAAGTGGCCTTAGAAAATATGGTGATTTGCCACTCTCAAGTGGGCTTAAAACTTGCAATCAATGAATTGTTCCAATTCAAATAATCCAACCTTCACCCACAGGCATTCAGGCAGTTATATCACATAAGCAGTTAGTCTCATAGTAAGCATGCTATCATGGCAGTCACTCACACACATGCAAGGATGCTAAAGCGTAAACACTTACCAAGTACTTCGAGCCAAAACAAAAACTAGTTAGTAATCAATGCATGATCCTAGTTCATGTTAAGATGGCTAATGCAACTCATGCAAAATGCAACTAAGATAGGCTCGGCTATTCTAAGATGGCATATGAGATGCTACAGATAACATGTATTCAACTTGGAATTGAAGTACAATGCAGTTAGTATGATGCGCCGAGCCCGGTGCATGCAAGACAGATGAATGGATGCAATCATGCGAGCATAAGGATGCTAATTGAAACATGCCCTAAAACTAACCATCGTAAGCTAGTAAATAAAATGGAGAAAGAAATGGGGGTTGGAAGACATGCATCATACACACGCACACTTATTACAACAATTATGCCCTCTCGATGGAGGGTCCCAATAAATAATACAAAAATCAACTAGCTAATCTAATTAAACTAGTTATTACACAACCACAATGAATAAAAAATTATAGCTAATTATTACAAAACTCTAACTAATTTACAAATTAGCTAAGTAAACAATTAAACTATCATGCAAACTACATGAAACGGACTGCCTCAGCTTTGCCTTGAATGATAAAGGATGCATGCATGCTCGAGTCGCCTTGTTGGGAAATCCATCGCGATGCCCCAACTCGCCTTTGTTTGCAATTGATTTCAGAACACTGCACAAGGCTCTAGAAGACTGAAACTCCACCCTGAGAATCTGTGGGAAGGCTGCCGACCAGCTATTGGCCTTGGAGACCACTTGCCGACCACCTTTTGTGGGAGAAACCAAAAGGGGTGGTCGGCCTGCCAGAAGAGCTGGTCGGCCGACCAGTTTTTGCCTCTGGTTTCTGGTTTTCTGCAACAAGGAGCAAAAGAGAGGCATGGCAAGATATTTTCAACATATGTGTGCACAACCACTCTCCCCATCATTGTATAAGCTCAAGGGAGTGTCGGTCTCGATCCTCAGGCCACCAATCATACATCTCGATGCATGATGGCCGAGGAGCCGAATTGCACAACTTAATATAGAATGAATGCACATATGAACACATAAATGCCTAAACTCCATCATGTGTAATCAAGAGTGTCGGCGACTGGGAATTAAAGCACGTTTCGTCACTTTGAGTATGAAACGTCCCTCGTTTCCCGTGTTTGGACTAACTCCTATTCCAAACACGATGCAACACACAATGCATGCACCAATACAACTCTAGCATGCAACCTAAATGCAATGCGACTAAATGATGCAAACATGCAAGGGATGACATGCAAGGGTGTGACTAGCACACACAATGCTATGAACTAAGAATGGCATACTCAATGCACATGACGCTATATGGCATACGCAATGCACATATGAAGGCTATCAATGAGCTGATCAAGGCATACACAATGCAATGGTCAATCATGCAACAACATGGACTATATGGTATATGCAATGCAAGATGGACTTAAACCAAGATGGATGGACCTCAGCCACATCCAAATCAGTGGCCAACAGGATGAAAATGAGACAACAAAAATACGTGCAAACATGCACAAATGCAAGGGACCAAACCTAAGGCACAAAGTGCAACTCCACCAAAGCATGGTCAGCATGAAATATGGCATACAATCACATATTTTTCAGCTCTGAAATGACATGCAATATGGTCCCGAATCATGCGAACACCTCACACAATACATGTTAGATGACCCAAATATTGAAACTAGTGAAGTGGATTACACTATAGGCATGCAAAGCAATACTCAAATGGCCAAACCAGCCCCAAACAGTCCCTATGCAAAATGAAGCTCATGCAATAGTCCAAAAATGAGGTATTCATGCATAACTCTCAAACACATTTAAAGAGTGGAAAATATGGGAATATGGCATACATATAAGCTCTGAAATATGATTCACAATGATGCCAAAACATAGAAACACCTCAAAATACGCGTGCAATAGGCTTCAAAACTCAAAGATAGGCAAGGGTATTAAACTATAACCATGCATAGCAAACATCATTCGACCATGAGGCCCAAAAACAGAGCTAAGACAGTCCAAAACATGCAAAAAATTAGTTTAGAACATAGCCAAAATATGCTAGAATCAAAGGCCAAAACAACATGCATTACAAGCTAGTGAAGAGGATTTACATTACAAGCATGTGAATCATTCAAGAGGCCACTAAACCAGCATAAGACAGAGGTATGACATGCCAAATAAAGCCCAAAAATCCACTGAAACATGGTCAATGCATGCAAGAATGACATGCTCCTTTGATAAGCTATGAAGAGGATTGTTCTACACATGCAAGGTGGACATCCAATATGACAAAATCAGCTCTAGACAGAGCTTATGCAGGTCCTAAAAACCATCAAAAAAGGCCTGAAACAAGGCTTGGAGGCATGCAAGTATAGGCTCCTTTGTTAGGCCAAATATGCTAGAAAATAAGACAAGGAGAAAGTGGGTCACCCCTCTCTGATTTTGGCTCTCAAAACAACATATTACCCACTGAAAATCCGTTGGATTTCAGTGGTTAAAAGGCCAAACAAAGATCAATACAAAGGGCTTCATGTATGGCTCAAAACAAGGCAAAATGAAGCATGCAAGGGGGTAGATGACCCCCAACAACAAAGTGATCTTAAACAAACATCAAAAGGACCTCAAAACAAGACTTTTTTCAGTTTACACCAAAGCTCAAATATGCTTGCAAGTATGGCTAAAAGATGGAGAAAAATAAAGCTTAAAAGAGGGAATAGTGTGTTACCCTTGTAGCTTCAGCAAAACCAGCAGCTTCTTGGACCAAAAACCAGCTCTTTGAGACCTCTCAAGTCCCTCCAAAAACCTTAGATCAATGGTGGATGTGTGTGGCTATGAGGTGTGCTGTTAAAGGCCAAGAACAAACACCCTTTTCTAAGCCTAGAATGTAGAGATATAGAGAGATATATGTGCTTTTCCTTAGACAAAATTTTTTTTCAACTTCTCTAAAAGAGAGGGAGGCCCTCTCTTATAGAGAAACAAGAGGGTTCAAGCTTATTGAAGAAGCTAGAGCAAAAGGTTCAAGCTTCTTGAAGAAGTTAGAGCAAAGGTTCAAGAGGTTCAAGCTTCCTCAAGAAGCTAAAATGAAGGTTCAAAAAATTCAAGCTTTCTCAAGAAGCTAAAACGAAGGTTCAAAAAGTTCAAGCTTCCTCAAGAAGCTAAAACAAAGGTTTAAAAGGTTCAAGCTTCCTCAAAAAGCTAAAACGAAGGTTCAAAAGGTTCAAGCTTCCTTAAAAAGCTAAAACGAAAGTTCAAAATGTTCAAACTCTTCAAAAACCGTGCCAAACAGAGAAAGTTGAACGGTCCCGAACCGAGGCGCACGACCGACGGCTCCAAAAATCAAAAACTGGTCTCCAAACGGGAACAGTGGTCTACGACCACGAAAAGTAGCCTACGGCCACTGAGAGATGGTCTACGAGACCTCTCCCTCCCTTTAGGAAGAGAAAACAGAACCTGGTTCGCAAACCGAGACAAAGTATAAAAGAGTCCCGAGGTCCGGAGGCAAGGCTCTCAGCCGAGACTCTGTAACCTCAGAACGAGCACAACATGCGTCATCACCGAGCGCTCAATCGATGATGTCTGAGTCTTAAGGTCGGTCAAAAATGGGGTGTCTACACTGATGTGGCCGGTTCTTCACTTGCCAAGTGTTTAGATGTCATTGGTGCTTGGTGTAACGTTGGGCTTCAAGAATGTTGGGG